AATAAAAAATGATGAACTCAATTGAGAATAAAGTAGATAAAGTGAATAAAAATGTTTATTATATATAACACTTTTGATTTAGCAATACAAGTCATACTATTGAACTCCAAAACTAATATATTAATTTCCATATGGCAACTTTAGGTTTTATTGCATCTTTTACTGAATTTAACATATCTTCTGTGATTTGCAAGTATCTCATGCCTGCCTCTCTTTGATTTTGCTTTAAAATATTTTAGTTAATAAATTCATAGTTTACACAGTTAAGCTATAACTACAAATCTCAAATGTAAACAATATAGCACTGAAACAGAATGCTATAATTTTCTATGAATATTTCATTTACTTTTTGAGGCAACAATCACCTAAATGACTCTGAGCCATTTTTATGATAATGTACCAATATTACCAGATTTGATTTTAAAATATTATAAATTTATACATTCCTACCTTTTCCTTTTCCAATATATAAATCTTAGGCATCTTTTTCCTGCCTTACTTATTGGGCTAGTAGAATAATTCTACATAATGCATACACTGTCTCACTGTCTGTTTTGCTGCCTAATCGAAGGCTTTTATAAACACCCAGCATTTGTAACTCAGAGCCCTATAAAGACTTTGCAATAAACAGCATACAACACTGTTCCAGTTGTTTTCCTTAGGCAGAAGCTAAAGCTTAACAAAATAGCATTTCAAGAAGGCATCTTAGGGTAGGGAGTAATCCTGGATGACATCAAGGAAAGCATTCTTATTTCATAAATACAAAACCATGGTCTATAATGAGAATAATGAGAATAATGCTGCCAATGAGGTGTAGTCAGCTAGTGTTAGAAGAGATTTTTAAAACTAAATTCCTGGGGACTAGGAGATAAAGTAATTGAACACATGGCTGTTCTGAAATTGATCCCTGACTTCCTGAATAACTCCAACTATTGCCTTAACTGCCCCTAATCACAATCAGGACAGAAACTGGATATGGCTCTGGTGGCCCTGGTGAGTCCTGATGACCACTGGCCCAAGCACTTCTTGTTTCTACCAGGATAATCTCTATCATGGGCCTGACAAGGTCCATATAAAAATAAATATTGCCCAATGTTGCTTAAAAAAGTTTTAAACAGGTATTAATAGGCAATCTGTGTAACTCCATCATTTCTACTATTTTCCCATTGTCTTTGTCATTAAGATACTTGTTTATATTCATTATTTATGCTCTTTTAACTATTTGCTTTGCATGCGGCCAACATGGCCGACCCGAGTTCGATTCCTCCGCCCCTCTCGGAGAGCATGGCAAGCTACCAGGAGTATCTCGCCCACACAGCAAAGCCTGGCAAGCTCCCCGTGACATATTCGATATGCCAAACATAGTAACAACAAGTCTCACAATGGAGACGTTACTGGGCCCGCTCGAGCAAATCGATGAACAATGGGATGACAGTGTTACAGTGCTACAGTGCTCTTTTAACACCTACAGGATTATTATTGTATAGATATAATTTAAAAATTGAGATGATGAGAATATGAGAGTATAATTTATTCATGAGCAAAAACCAGCAGAAACCACATGTCCGTTAGTAGGTTAATGAATAAACTCTGGTGAATCTGGACAATGGAATATTACTCAATGTTAAAATAGATAGAGCTATCAATTCATGAAAAGATTTATGCACATTTTTAAGTGAAAGAAAACTTTTTAAAAAGGTTTTTAATGAGAAGTTATAGTTTCATAGAAAAATTGCCTTTTTAAAAAAGGTTACATAGCATACTTTGCAATTATACAATAACCTGGAGGATGCAAAACTGCGAAGTTAAGTGATCAATTATTAGAGGGATTGAGTGAATGGGGAGAGTTTAAACAAATTTTAAGACAGTGAAACTATACTAGATGATATCATAGCATTGCATATATGTCATTATATACATGTATACATATAGAATTTATAATCTCAGAGTGAATCCTAAAATAAATAATGGACTTTGAGTAATTACAATGTATCAATGGATATTCATCAGTTGTAACAAATATATCACTTGTATGATAAATGTTTGAGACTCAGTTGCCTTGCTGACAATTTTTCTATGAAATTATAACTGCTCTTTAAAAACCTTTATAAAAAGAAGTTACAGCAATGAGAGGAAAATAATTTAAAGAATTCCATCTTCAAATGAAGCAGCCACCCAAGTACGTATAAGTATCACAAGCACTGTTGGACCAAAGAGTAAGTCACTCCAAGTACTAGTAATCAAGTGGAAAATTTCTTCAATGATTACAGTCAATACCATGTGAGAGTCAAATGGAAAGCAGCAGTGAAATGAATATTGAAACACTCATTTAATAAAAGAATGTGGGTTGAGACAGAGCTTTGTCCATTCTATAAATTATTTTGTAAATAGAGAAACACTGTAAGTGATAACAATGATGCTGTCATTTGACATTTTATGCATTGAAAATAATAAAAGCACTTAAGTGAAAAATATGTCATAGCAAAGGTCACAGTAATTGTATACAAGGATCAATTGTATACTGCAAGAACATATTACAAGGATAATGTGAAATCCATTCACACATTTAAAAATGCCATCAAACCAGACATCATTATAATTTCATGAAGGTGAAAGTAGCTTGTGTCAAAAAATATGTCCAAAAATATTTGGGTTGCCATTTAAGAAATAAAGAGTATGAGTTCTTTTCTCTTTTGTCTTATCTCCTTATCTAACAATGTTCTCTGTAAGACTTCAATACTCCATTTATCTAAAAAAATAAATAAATGTTTGTTATTAAGCCCCTGTCATTCTCTGGCCCCTACATCATCAGACATAAATATGAAATATGAAAAAAGCAAATTGTGATGCCCCTATCAATTTCTCCCATAAAACATCATCACCAGACAGTCTATTACTAAAACCCAGGCACCTCATGCATCTACCTCATGTCTTACAGGCTACTGTATCAGGGATAGCTGCAGTTTTGCGTCACAGTCTATTAAACACACATTTAAAGCAATTTACTTCAGTTAAAATCACTCATAGCTGAGCTGACTCAGATGACCAGACCCAGACATGTAAGGTACCAAATGTCTTTTTAAGAGTTATTATGTTATTTTGGAATAGTATATGACACAAAATTTAACAGCAAAACTGACCAACATTAATCGTTCTTCTACAAATAAAATGTCTTTATTATGAAATCTAGTGTATGACAGTTTTTCTCACCTGCATAGTTTTTTGTTTATTCCTAGTACAGACTCTAATGTGTGAATGGAAAGCCACACAAAAAAGAAATGCACTTGGTTTTTATATGTTGCTTAAAATTATTATGTAGACAATTACAGTTGTAATAAAAAGTAACTAAAAACTCAAAAACAGTTTCTTCAAACTTGTATTTGTTGTTATATCTTCATCATCAGGAATAATAAGCATTTATGGCTTTTGTCAAACCGACTTCCTTGAATTTTTAAAATGAGACTGTTGAATTTTTTTTATTCTCACATTCTACTTTCATTATTAATTACCTGCCACTTTATTTACTTTAAGCCTAATACAACTAGTTCAATCGCCCACTTAAACATTCATGTTCCTTCCTGTCCTTACTCAACACAATACATTAAAATACTGTATATCTAAAATAAAACGTAAAATAATATCCAAAATTAAAATATTTAATATTTTAAAATATGAAAAATAATATGTGTTTTAATGAACTCTCCTTCAATTGTCTGGGCATAGTTTGAATTTGACATGAACTTTCAGGTTCCTTATATTCATAAATATTGATTCTAGTTGATACTCGTAAAAACACCATACACACACATACGTGTTAACAGTTCTGAGATAATATCAATGGTACCACTTGTGATTGAACAAATCAACAACACAGAAGGAAAGCCCTAGACTAGGAGTCAGGAAAACATGGAGTTAGTAGACATGTACAGAACACTTCATTCCAACGAGCAAAATACACATTCTTATACAGGACACAGAGATCATTCAACAGGATTTAGATCACACTTGATTACCATTTGAGTGGCCATAAAGTCAAGAATATATAAATGATGTCAAGGAGCTTTTCAACCACAATAAAATGAGAGTAGAAATTAACTGGAAATGAAGTAAAGTCAGTTAAAAATGCACTTAAGAGTCTGATAACATACTTATTTTTGTTTTCACTATCACGACCATCCTGGTATTCGTCGATTGCCTTGAGCAGGCCCCAGTAATGTCTCCTTTGTCCTAGCCCTGAGATTTTTTAAAAAAGTGCCATATTCAAGGCTCTTTCAGAGTTAGGAGAATGAGACCCATCATTGTTACTGGTATTTGGCATATTGGGTACGCCATGGGGAGTTTGCCAGACTCTGCCGTGTGGGCAGGTTACATTCGGTAGCCTGCCGGTTTGTCCAAAGTAGGAATGAGGTAATAAGAAGTCGTGTGGACGCAAATACAGCTGCGCGCTTCCAGGAGCTGGGTTTTATAGTCTCTGGGTCTTGGCCGTTGATGGGATTACATGGCGTCAGGAGGCCAGTTGGTGAGTGTGACCCCTGCCTACTGGAATTTGGAGGATCTGGGTGGAGGATGCTCAGCCCCAATCCGAGCAGGCTTGGAGATCTCAGTCCTGGGACCCACATGCCTTTGTTCTTCTGCCAGTACCTTCATGTGTGTGGAGAGTGGTCTCAGCATGGTGGTGGCTGGTTCTGGAGGTCTTCGGCTGCCGGAGCCTTGGTCGGGGCAGGTGGGAAACTCAACCCGCTCCCCTCCAAGGGGCTTGGCGAGGACAGCCAGGCGTGGGGGCAGTATTTTTGTTTTAAATGAGGAAAATATAGGAAGAAGGCTTCTTGACATGGAATCTGAAGGCATATCTTTGGATACAGTCCTCAGAGGTGCTTTTAATGATTTGACTCCATTGACATAGAAAACTAAAATTAAAATAATCAATAAGATTATAAAAAACTGAAAAAAAATTTCAGAGAAAGGAACTTGAGCTATAATGTTTTTAATTTAGATTTTTAAAAAATATGGAATGTTTCACGGATTTGCATGTCATCCTTGCACAGGGGCCATGCTAATCTTCTATATATCTTCCAATTTTAGTTTATGTGCTGTTGAAGCAATCACTCGAGTTATAGTTTTTAAAAATGCCTACTGAGGGAAAAAGCATTTGCATACATGGTATGAGGGCTAATATCCAAGATGTATAACTCACTCACAAATATCAACAACAGAATGATAAAAAAAAACACCCTATTATCTCAGGGTTACAGAGAGTAAGTGGATAGAGTGTTTGCCTTGCACACAGCTGGCCTAGTTCTATCTCCAGGACGCTATATGGTCTCTGAAGCCCAACTAGGAATTATATCTGAGCAGAGCTAGTAATAATCCAGGAGTAAGACCAGAGCACCATCCAATGTGGCACCAAAACTAAAATAAAAAATTAATTAATTTAAAAAATTAATTAATTAAAATGACAACAAACATATAACCCCATCAAAGAATGAGGAAAGGAGATGAACAGATACTTTCCCAAAGAGGACACTGAGATGGCCAATGGACGTACAAGAAATATTTAAACGTTTATCCTCACCAATAACAAGGATAATGCAAATGAAAACAATGAGATATCATCTGACAAAGGTGAGAATGAAATGTAAGGGGGAAAAAAACCTGGAAAGAAACACTCGTGGTGAAAATGCATCCCTACCTACAAGTGGGAAAATTGGATTGACCCTCTCTGGAAAGTAGTATGGAGACTTTTCAAAAAATGAGTACAGAACTCCTATATAGCCTATTAACTCCACTCGGCATTTATTCTGCACTATAGCACTTTCCTCCCATTGTTCATTGATTTGTTTGAGCAGACACCAGTAACGTCTTCATTGTGGGACTTGCTGTTACTGTTTTTGGCATATCAAATAAGTCACGGGTAGCTTGCCAGGCTTTGTCTTGCGGGCAGGATACTCTCGGTAGCTTGCAGGGCTCTCCGAGAGGGGTGGAGGAATCAAAGCCGGGTTGGCCGCATGCAAGGCAAATGCCTTAACTGCTGTGCTATTGCTCCAGCCCGAAATTAATTCTAACACTAAAAGTTAAATTTAAAAAATATGTATGAACAAATATGTTCATAGAAGCCCTAAAATACATTAGCCAGAACATGGAAAATATTATATATATATATTTATATACTTATATATAATTATTTATCAATTAAATTATTATATATATTTATAATATATTGTGTATACACATAATTAAATGTATACCTAGAAAGAAATGATGATATCTTGGGCCAGAAAGATTGAACAGAAGGTAATGTATTTGCTTTGCATATTATTTATCCAGGTTTGATCTATGATGCCGCATATGGCCACCTGAGTACTGCCAGGAGGAATATCTGAACACAGAATTAGTAGTTAAGGCCTGAGCATTGCTGGCTGTGAAGCTACAGAGAGAAAGAGATAGAGAGAGAGAGAGAGAGAGAGAGAGAGAGAGAGACAGAGAGACAGACAGAGAGACAGAGAGACAGAGAGAGACAAAGAGAGAATATAAAATCTTGATGGGTATTGGGTAAATGATTATTCCCATTCAGTGGTCTCTTTATATTTTGCTCACTGTATCTTTTTAGGTGCAGAAGCTTCTTAGTTTAATATAGTCCCATGTTCCATTTGTTTATGTTTGTTTCAACTTGCTTGGTGAGTGGTGTTTCATCCTTAAAGATGACTTTAGTTTCAATGTCATAGAGGGTTCAGCCCACATTTTCCTTCATGTAACTTATGAATTCAGGTCTGATATTGAGGTCTTTAATTCACTTTGATCTGACTTTAGTGCCTAGTGTTAGACAGAGGTCTGAGTTAAATTTTTTTCAAGTAGCTGACCAGTTTCCCCAGCACTACCTGTTGAAGAGGCTTTTCCTTATTCCACTTCACATTTCTTGCGCCTTTATCAAAGATTAAGCAATCATATGTTTGAGAATATGTGAGAATATTCACTCTGTTCTATTGGGTCTGTGGGAGCTGTTTCTAGTCCAAGACCATGTTATTTTATTACTGCTTTGTACTAGTTTGAAGTTGGGGAAGGTGGTACTACCCACCTTCTTTTTCCCAAGTATTGCTTTAGCTAGCTATCCTTGGGGGTTTATTGTTCCATATGAATTTCAGGAGTGTTTTGTTTATTTATTTGAAAAATGTCTTTGAATTCTTATGGGGACCACATTAAATTTGTATAATGCTTTGGAGAGCATTGCCATTTTGACTATGTTAATCCTCCTGAAACTTGCGCAGGGGATGTGTCTCCATTTCCTAGTGTCCTTCTTTATTTCTTGAAGTAGTGTTTTGTAATTTCCTTTGTATAGGTCCTTCACGTCTTATTTCTTAATGTAGGAGTATTGCTAATTGTTCAGCCATTGATTAGGCTGATTGAACTGGGCATGAACTCCATCTTACTTTTTTTCCTTTTCTATAAATGTATTTATTGAATCACTGTGAGAGTAGTTACAAAGCTTTCAGGTTTAAGTCTCAGTCATAAAATGATGAAACACCTGTCCCTTCACCAGTGCCCATTTTCCAACACCAAAACCCCCAGTATATCCCCATCCCACACCCTCCCCCTACCTGTGGGACAGATGATTTCAACATTACTCTCTCTCTACTTTGATTACATTCAATATTTCTAACACCATACCCACCATTATTATTTGGGATTTTACACCAACACTCAGATCTGCCAAAAAGGCAACCATAGACAATTTGTTTACTATTGCTAGTTATGAGTAACATATGATGTCACATGGCCGCAGTAGTGGTCACGCAATTTTGGAATTTCAAAATTTTAACAATTAAATCTGAAGGTATTTGTGCCAAAATCCACAGGATTCCAAGATTTGTTTCTGAGTCTTTGGGATCATGGCTGTTAAGCCGCTTGATCAGGAGCCATTCATGGGTGGCAACTCAGGGTCTCATTGGGGCGAGTAAGAAAGTGCCAGCTCCACCTCCATCCCATGAGGCCCCACATGTCACGTCACTGTGGGTGCAAACCTGACTGTCCAATTGCCTCTGGAGGATGGTGGCCACTGAGCCACCAGGGGGAAGGCCAAGGCACAAAACGTATTCCCACTTTGGGTGGCCTGGCACTGGTAACCTACTGTTGGGACCAGACACATTTCTGCCAAAACCCACTGGGTTCTGAGATTTGTTTCTGAGTCTCTGGGATCATGGTAATCAATTTGATCAGGAAACAGAGAGGTCTTGCCTCCATTTATATAGATGAGCCAGAGGTGGTTTGTGGGTGTGTGTCTCACATACCTAACTTTTGGCCATTTACTTTCTTGGTAAACTGGATCCCAAGTTGTTGGGGTCTGCCCAAAGGCATAGCAGCAATTTTGGGGTATCTAGAAGTCTGAAGGAACCATCAGTCTTCTCATGCACTCACCTCACAGGTACAGATTGACCTGCTGGTGGCACCATACCCCAGCCTTCACTTCTTTAGCTAAGCTAATTCCAAAGTACTTGATTTTCTGAGACACTATTGTGAATGGGATTTTTTTTAATGTGTCTTTCTTCTCTTTCATTATTTATATATAGAAAAGCCATGGATGTTGGAGTGTTGATTTTGTAAGCTGTATTTTACTATAAAAACCTATTGTTTCAAGGAGCTCTATTGTAGACTTTAGGATTTTTTAAGTATAGTATCATGTCATTCGCAAATAGTGATAGCTTGACATATTCCTTTTCTATCTGGAAGTTCTTGTTATCATTTTTCTTGCCTGACTGCTATGGCAAAAACTTCCAGTACTGTACTGAATAGTATTTACCCAGTACCCATCAGATAAGGGGTTAATATTTAGGATATATAAAATGTTAGTAGAATGGTACCAGAAAAACTCCAATCCCATCAAAAAATGGGGAGAAGAAATGAACAAAATCTTCCTCAAAAAAGAAATACAAATAGCAAAAATAAACATGAAAAATACTCTACACCAATAATCATAGGGAGTTGCAAAACAAAACAACAATGAGATATCGCCACAGAGACTGGCACACATCCAAAAGAAGAAGAACAATCATTGCTGGCATGAATGTGGGGAGAAAGGGACTCTTGTTGTTGGGAAAAATGACAATAGTTCAGCCTTTTTGGAAAATAATATGGACATTCATTAAAAAACTAGAAATTGAGCTTCTATATGATCCAGAAATAGAACTTCGGGGAATATATCCTGGGATTGCAAATGCAAAAGCACAGTCCCAATGACATCTGTACTTGTATGTCATTGCAGTACTGTTTACAATAGTCAGAATTTGGAAACAATCTTTGCCCAAGAACAGATGACTTGCATTAAAGAAATTTTGTCACATCTATACAATGGAATTCTAAGCAGCTGTTAAGAAAGATGAAGTAATGAAATTTGTTTATAAGTGAATGGACATGAAAAATATCATGCTAAGCAAAAGGAGTAAGGAAGAGAGGGACAGACATAGGATGACTGCACTCATTTGTGGAATATAAAATAATATAATATGAGTTTAACACCTAAAGTCAGTAGAGACAAGGGCCAGGATGATTGCTCCATGGTTGGAAGCCTGCCTCTTGAGCTGATGAAAAAGGCAGTTGGGATAGAGAAGGGATCACTAAGTCTATGATGGTTGGAGGGATCACTCGGGATGGAAGATGTGTGCTGAAAACAGATAAAGAACCAAACATGATGGTCTCTCGGTATATGTATTGCAAACAATTATCCCCCAAAGTAGAGAGAATAAGAAGGAATTTGTCTGTCATAGATATAGGAGGTGAGGTGGGGTGGGTGGTAAGAGGGATACTGGGACATTGGTGGTGGAAAATGCACACTGGTGGAGGGAAGGTGCTTGATCATTGAAAGGCTGAAATTCAATCATGAAAGCTTTGTAACTGTGTCCCACAGTGTTTCATTAAAAAAATCTTGAATTTTACTGCAACTTAGTTGGAACTAGAGTGAATTATGTTAAGTGAAATAAGAAATAAAAAAGCAAAAAGCAGAAGTTCCCAGTCTATGGCATATGCATAAACAACTAAAATAAAAAACAGTAATAAATAAGGGCAAATCTTTGGCCTTCAGTTTCAGAACTGAAATCACCAAGCAGTTCAAGGGGCAT